TTAACGGAAACCTTTTCCTTTGTCTCCTCATTGAGGCAACTGCAGGCAATGCCGTACGCACCTGTCCCAAGTATCTTCAACAGTGTGTACTTCCTCGGCACCTCAAACTGAGAACCACTCACATTATAAAGCTTGAAATCACCCACAATCGTGGGCTCACAAAGCTCCTGGTTGCTATCGTGCATGTTTCCCTCGTTCCCTAACGCGGTGCGTGTGCCTGTCCGTGTCCAGCGCCACACCCAAAAAGCAGCAGGAAAAACACACACACACAAAAAAAAAAACAAAAAAAAGACAACAAAGAACGGACTCTCTCTTCTAAATTACCGGCCCCACCCCCTTCTTTCTTTCTTTTTTTTTTTTTTTTCTCCTCCCAAAGACCCTCGCTTTTGGAATAGGGGCGGTAATAAGGAAAAAGGAGGCGTGACAGGTACGCTGCAATGTGATGCCCTCCCAGCCGCGGTGTATATATATATATCTCACCCTTTTTTTTTTTTTCCTTGAAAAGTAATACCAAAGAACGAGAGCGTCAAACTCTCCCTTTTTCCTCACACTTTTTTTTTTTCTTTTTTAAAAGAAGTTTTAATTCCTTTTGCTCTTTGGCGTACGTTTATTATTATTATTATTATTTTCCCTTACTCCTTTCACGGGTTAGGGGAGGAGACGGTCTGTTCCTCTCTCTCTCTCCCTGCAGGGCGTATGAATACGATGCTGCGGGCCCTGCTCTTCCAACCTCGCACACACACACAAGTCAAATAATTGAGTTTCTCAACTGAGAAGAGACGAGGCTGGGCGCCGGCCTCTCGTTATGCCTGCTTGTATAATATAATATAATGTATGTATGTTATATATATATATATGTGTGGTGTGTGTATATGTATATATGTCTATCTATATATCTATATGTATGTATATTCAATATAAATGCCCTTTACTGCTGCAGTGAATAAAAAGGAAGATGAGGCAACAAAACAACAACAAGAAAAGAATTGTAGCACAACACACATGCATGCGTCAGAGGCAGCACTCACGTCATTACATCCAGACATCGACACACACACACACACAGCGAGAGATAGAGAGAGAGAGAGAGAGTAAGCTCGTGTATATCTATGTATATAATCATAAAGGACGCTCTAAGTGATGGTTGTTCAATTCACACTTTCACAACCCCTTTTCCTTCTCTTTTCTCTCTTTCTCTCTCTCTATGGCTCCACAACACGCCCCCCCTCCCCTTCTGCTTTTCTTTCTCACTCTCTTCCTTCCGTTTCCTTCACTCTTTCTGTGCGTGCGTGTGTCTGTTTTTTTTTTTTTTTCTTGTGTGTGTGTTCGTCATGAAGGCTGCCATATTCATTTCTGTTTCATATATATATTTGGGTGCATGCATACTCCCTTATCTTATTAAAGCAGCAATAAATGATAATAACAATCATCATCGGCATTGTTATCATCTCTATTTTCATCCCTATTTGTCTGTCCATCTATCTATCTATTTCTCTCTCTCTCTCTCTCTTTCTCTCTATAAATATATAAATATATCTCCGTCGTTGCACGCGAATATCAGTTATTTTCTGCTCCCCACACACATGTACATATGCATATATGCGTTTATGAGAGAAATACAGAGGGCCATATTTACGCCTTGACTTTTTAAGCATCTGCCTCATCACCCGTTTCCTTTTCCGCACTCTCCAGCATGGAGTAAAAGCCCTTTGCAATCGGACAGGCGCGAATACTTTTTTCGTTAAAGTTCAAAAGACGGATCTTCTCCAACTGCGTGCCGCGGCTCAATGCAACATACGCCTGCCCGGGAGAAAAGAACCGATGCATTGCAACCTCCACGTGAGATATTGTCAGTCCTTGTGCCTTGTGCACAGTGATGGCCCAGGCTTGCCGCAATGGGATCTGCGTGCGTGTCGCAACGACCTGATCTCCCATGTACCATTGATGCGAGTACGGCGACACAAACGCGTACACATGCCGCGGAAGCTGCACGCTGCGACTCCGTTTCCCGTTTGCCCCATCTGCCTTGTCGGTGCGGAGAGTAAGATGTTGGGGCTGCAGGTCGAGCTTCACCACCGGCAGTCGGGTGAGGCGCAGTTGTTGCGGTGGGATGCCACCAATGTACAGCTCGAGTGGGTGCACGGACGTCGAGGGCGAAATTCCCACAAGCTGCTGCACATCACGGCAGTGCGCATTGCCATAAACACTACCGTAACTCACCTCCGCCGGCTGCCGCAGGCCGCGCTGCCGCAGCGACCAGAAAAGAGACTGCCCCAATGACGTGTCCACGCAACGAAAGGCATCGTTAATTGTGGGGAACCCCCCGCGACGCAACAACTCCTGTCCACGTGCGGAAACGTGATACCGCTCACGTGGGGCCCGCAGGACAAGCTCGACAAGCTCCAGCGGGTGCAGAAAGCCGACCACCTCCCCCACAGAACCATTCACAAGTCCTAAACGAAGCGAAATGTTCTGCAGAAGCATCACGCGGGTGCCCACCTTCAGCGCAAGCTCCGTGGGTAATGTGCTGTCTTCAAACTTCACCCACGACGGCGGGCCGGCGGAGGCGGCATCGTCCTCATCGTATGTATCGTGTGCACGGTAAATCTGCAGTGGGCGAATATCATCCTCCGTCTCGTCCATTTCACGCATCACATCCTCCTCCTCCTCCTCCCCCTCATTATTGTTATTGTTTTTTTCACGGTCCTGCAGCCGTGAGGAGTAAAACGAGGAGGTTGCAGCTGTTTGCCTGGAGAAATCCCCAATTCCCTGCGGCTCCAATGCGGCAAAGTGCTTTGCGTTGCGGGCCTCAACCTCCTTGTTTGTGGCACACAACCGCACGTACCTGCCACCTTCAACATCTTCTCCCTCCTCTCCCTCTATCATCGCCCTATTTTCTGAGTTGTCGGCGAACTGGCGGCCCTTCCGGGACTTCGCCTTCGTCGTCTTTAAGGCCGCGCGGGACATGAGCATCTCGTACGTCTCTCCTGAGAGCACCCCAATTCGCACATCGTCGAGGACGCGTTGGAATTTGGCATCTTCGTTCTGACGAAACTTCTGCTGCAGCACAACAGTTGTGAGCCCCAGCGCCTTCCATGCATCCCCCTCGAAGCAATACCGCTTCTTAGGCCGATCCGGCATCGCTTCTTCCTCTTCCGCATCTTCGTTCCTCACCGCCTCGTCCTCTGGCTGCCGCTGCTGCGACCACTGCGTGCGACGGGGTGGAATAGGCGGGAGCTGCAAAAAGTCCCCGCACAAAATGACATGAATCCCGCCAAACGGCTCATCCGCACGGCGTCGTATCGCTCGGGCAATGTAGTCTAACTTGTCAAGCAGCTCTGGATCCATCATGGAGATTTCATCAATGATGAGGGTTTGACAGTACTTCCACCGCCCCGCAGCGCGGCGGTTGCGGCGCACCCACTTCAGGAGTTCCCGCGCCTCGCCATCACCAAACTTCACACCGGCAAAACTATTGATGGTGGACCCGCGCACATTCAAAGCAGCCACGCCGGTTGTCGCCGTGACAAAAACGGAGCGCCGCCCCCCCTCACGCATCTGTCGCACAATCTCACGAATAACAAGCGACTTGCCCGTCCCAGCACCACCCGTGACAAACAAGTTGCGTCGCTGGAGCGCCAACTCCACCGCACGGCGTTGATCATCACTGAACTCGTCGATGCAGTTGGCAGCATCGTCGTCTTTCGCCGTGTCCTCCGTCCGTTGTGCGGTCCTCTCTGCTGCTCTGTTTGCTCCCTCCTCGTCTGCATCGTCGACCGTGTCTTTTCCCACATCGCTGCGGTGTACAACTTCCAGCCGCGCGGGGTACTCTTCTTCTTCTTCTCCCGCCACGTTGTTATCATTTTCACGTCCCTCGAGGGACACACCACGCCGCTGCTGTTTGCGCCGCATCGTCTCATCCACCAGCAGCTGCATGAACTGCTCGCTTTCCTCGTCCAAAATTGCCTCATCGTCAGAAACTGAAACGGCATCTTTCTTTTTTGCCTCCTCCTTCTCTATTTGCTCATCTATGCCACGGGCCACCGGCGTTGAGTTCCGCCACTGAGCCCCTTCCGATACCTTCTTCTTTTTCCTCTTCTCGGTCGTCGTCACCACTGACGTCGCCTTATTCCTCTTGCCCTTCATTGCCACCTGCCCAATGCGCTCCGGCACCGTATCATAACTCCCCGATTCTTCCACCGGCGCCCTGCTGTTCACCTTTGCCTCCTCCACGGCACTGCTGAGGGTTGGGCTCCTGCTCGTCGCTTGACTCTTCTTCCTCCTCGTCGCTGGCGGGGGCACCAACAACGGCGCCAGCGACGGCGGCGCGACGGCACTTGTCAGTATTCGTTCCGCTTCCCTCACCGACACGTCGGACGGTGTCGCTGCCGCCGCTGTACGGCTCTGCCTCGGTTGAGATGTACGTCGGGGGAGCCGCTTTTTCCCCTCATCACGACTGGCATGCCGCCAACACGTAAGAAGAGCCGTATGCCGCGTCGCCAGAACCGCGTGTGTCTGCCGCACCGACGCTGAGAGACGCGTGAACATCCACCCGCCCGCTCAACACAGGAGAAACGATGAATGGGCCGTATCACACAAAACACGAGTTATTACCTTCCTTTTTTTTTGTTTTAGTTACACAAAAAACTTTTTTTTCTTTTCCTTTTTTTTTTTTTTTTTGCACCTTCAGCGTCTCACACTCGCTCTCTGTCTGCGTGTATGTGACTTCACACTAATGTCGGGGCGGGGCGGCGGAAAGGAGGAAAAGCACCATGTGAATGGGGGAACAAAAAGAGGACGTACGCACATGAATATTTGGCAAAGGCACCTGTGCATCCACACGTGCTAACCACACAAGTATACGCATAGCGGGGGCAACACACACAGCACAGACAGAGTGAGCAGCAGGGCGAGGTGGAAAAGAGCAGCGAGCATGACTATACCCAGCGAACACTGCCACCATGTTCGCGGTAGAACGCCCTCACACATGCATAAAGACGTCTATAAAAATATGTTTATATATACATAGATAGTGAGAGAAAAAGAAAAAAATAAAAAATTATGTATCTTGTGTTTTGCGCCCACAAATGCCTGCAGTAAAAGAAAAAAAAAAAAGAGCTCACACGTACTCCATCCTCCGAAACCCCAGCCCCCCTGCTACGCTCCACTAGACTCATGCCTACTCAGTTCGCCAAATAATGTCGATAGATTGTGGCCGATGGCAACACACACGGGCAGATCAAAATGCATGGAGGCAAGGGCTCCATTTCCCTCCCCACTGTGCTCTCAGATGCGGATCGGGTGCGTCTGCTTCATGAGAGGCGCGACGGTCTTAAATACCGGATCCGAAGCGTCCTTCAGGAGCTGCATCAGGATCGACTCCGACGTGGACACGTAGCACCCATCGCCTGACCACGACTGCATCAACTGAATGGCGGTGCAATGATCGCCCTGCGACTGGCTGCCGCAGCCGTCCACCGCGATGACGACTTTCTTCTTCATGTCCAGGAGCGCCGCGGCAGTCTGCAGCACACACACGTGCGTCTCGAAGCCCCACAACACGACCTGCTCCACCTCCGGCAGGTCGACAAGTGGCATCACTTCCGGCACCAGCATTGCGAACCGTTTCTTGGAGAAGACGTGCGCGTCAGGAGGGAGCCGAATGTCTGCGGACGTCGCTCCGAGACCCTTCGGGTACTGCTCCGTCACAACGTACACGCTGTGTGCAGTGCCCAAGGCAGTGTGGAGTCCAGCAAAGCGGTTGGCAACGAAAACACAGTTGGCGGAGTTTGCCACACGCCCCATAAACTTCTCTTGGATGTCGCAGCAGAAGAAGGCCGTCTTGCACGAGCCGTAGTGCTTCAACAGCCGTGACATGTTCGCACAACACCACTCAGTGCGTCCGCCTCACTGTTCCTTTTATTTTGAATGGTCTTCTCTCTCTCTCTCTCTCTTTTGTTTCTTTTCTTGGCCCTTTCTGTGTCCACCTGACCTAAAATCGTCTTGCGGCACGGAGTTGCTTTCCAGAAAGGAAAAGAAAAAAGAGTGAAATGCAAGCAATGCGCACACAAATACGTTTCGCTTCTCCGCTCCCGCGCCGCGGAAGAGGCACACAAACACAACTGCGGGGAGAAAGAGAGAGAGAGAGAGAGAGAGAGAGCTGTGGATGAGCACAAATGGACGGAGGGGTTGCAAAACGGTGTAGAGAGAGGCACCTGTGCATCCACACGTGCTAACCACACAAGTATATGCATAGCGGGGGCAACACACACAGCACAGACAGAGTGAGCAGCAGGGCGAGGTGGAAAAGAGCAGCGAGCATGACTATACCCAGCGAACACTGCCACCATGTTCGCGGTAGAACGCCCTCACACATGCATAAAAAGACGTCCATAAGAATATGTTTATATATACATAGATAGTGAGAGAATATTCGCCCGGGCTGCTGGTCGGATCCTGAACTTATCTAAAGAAACCAAACAAAATAGGGAAAAAAGAAAGGAGGCAAATAAAAAGGCAATGGCTTCAACACTTCCTCCATGCCTACCCCAAATAAATAAATAAATAAATATATTCCAATAGCCACCCTCGTGGATTGTTGTACTTTTTTTTTTTAGAATTAGAAATATTTATAACTTACGAATTGGCGGGCTTTGAGGGGTCTACCAGCCACAAGACCCCGCCGCAGTGTGAAGGAACCAAAAAAAAAAAAAAAAAAAAAAATAGAGGGTGTGTGGGTATTTTACAAAAGTAAATAATAATAATAATAAATAAAAAAACAACAACATAAAATATTCGTCTTGCCGTTATCGGATTCCTGATTCCCTCCATCCGCGGTTCCTACAAAAATACATAATATATAATATAGTCGTAAAGAGATATACTCGTTTTATCAGTATATATATATATATATGTATATATGTATGTGTGTATATTAATCTGGGTGGCTATCTTTTCCTCGCAAACATTCTCTTCACAAATTCCTAGAAGGAAGCATCTTGTGTTTTGCGCCCACAAATGCCTGCAGTAAAAGAAAAAAAAAAAAAAGAGCTCACACGTACTCCATCCTCCGAAACCCCAGCCCCCCTGCTACGCTCCACTAGACTCATGCCTACTCAGTTCGCCAAATAATGTCGATAGATTGTGGCCGATGGCAACACACACGGGCAGATCAAAATGCATGGAGGCAAGGGCTCCATTTCCCTCCCCACTGTGCTCTCAGATGCGGATCGGGTGCGTCTGCTTCATGAGAGGCGCGACGGTCTTAAATACCGGATCCGAAGCGTCCTTCAGGAGCTGCATCAGGATCGACTCCGACGTGGACACGTAGCACCCGTCGCCTGACCACGACTGCATCAACTGAATGGCGGTGCAATGATCGCCCTGCGACTGGCTGCCGCAGCCGTCCACCGCGATGACGACTTTCTTCTTCATGTCCAGGAGCGCCGCGGCAGTCTGCAGCACGCACACATGCGTCTCGAGGCCCCACAAGACGAACTGCTCCACCTCCGGCAGGTCGACAAGTGCCATCACTTCAGGCAGCAACATGGGGCTCTGCATCTTGGAGAAGACGTGCGCGTCAGGAGGGAGCCGAATGTCTGCGGAAGTGGGGCCCACGCCCTTCGGGTACTGCTCCGTCACAACGTACACGCTGTGTGCAGTGCCCAAGGCAGTGTGGAGTGCGGCAAAGCGGTTGGCAACGAAAACACAGTTGTCAAAGTTTACCACACGCCCTGCCAACTTCTCTTGGATGTCGCAGCAGAAGAAGGCCGTCTTGCACGAGCCGTAGTGCTTCAACAGCCGTGACATGTTCGCACAACACCACTCAGTGCGTCCGCCTCACTGTTCCTTTTATTTTGAATGGTCTTCTCTCTCTCTCTCTTTTGTTTCTTTTCTTGGCCCTTTCCGTGTCCACCTGACCTAAAATCGTCTTGCGGCACGGAGTTGCTTTCCAGAAAGGAAAAGAAAAAAGAGTGAAATGCAAGCAATGCGCACACAAATACGTTTCGCTTCTCCGCTCCCGCGCCGCGGAAGAGGCACACAGACACAACTGCGGGGAGAAAGAGAGAGAGAAAGCTATGGATAAGCACAAATGGACGGAGGGGTTGCAAAACGGTGTAGACAGTCCAAATCACTGGATTGCCGCCCCTCGCCCACACAGCGGCCGGCGCAGGGGGAAAACAACAACAACAAAGAAAAAGAAAAAGGGAATTTATAATGCCACACGTATAAGTTTTTTAATTTGAAAGGGAGTATATATATATGGACATGCACCCATCATTTTAAATGGCACGACCACGTTGCGTACCGTGTGATGTTTTCTCTTTCATGATTCCACCGTCCTTCTCACAAAGCCATCACACCCCTTCCTACTTCCCTCTCTCATTTCTTCTTCTCTGTGAGCCACAGGCGCCACGGACGCTTGAGTTGCATGCTCCTTTACTGACATTCGTCCTGAAAGGCAGGAAAGAGTTCCTGGAAGGTTTTATTCGCCTTGAGGTGGCGGGATTCCAAGTGCTGCTCCAACTCTGGGCGTCGCACCGTCCGCGGAAATCCCTGCAGGCACAGTGTGCACTGCACAACAGTTTTTGATTGCTCGTGTTTTTTGCGATCCTCCGCCGTGTGGGCATTGCCTTGTTTTTGCTGTTTGGCCTGCTCCCGCGCCCGACGCTGATTGGCACGACAACCGTTACCGGACGGCATAATTTCTATCGCGCTTTCTCTCCCGCTGCTCTCTTTTATTATTTTATTTTATTTTTATTTTTTTTGTCTCTTTAATTCCTTTTCCTTTTCTCTGCCCTCCATTGTTCATTGCAGTATTGCAGCCAAATATCATCGTAAAGGGAGAAAAGGGATATGACACCTCATGCAGGCAAGCGTACATGAGCTTTGGTTGGTGTGTTCATCCTTCCCCCCCCTCCTTACAGACATATATAAGTACACAGAGAAGGAAAGAGACATACACACAAAGAGAGAGAGAGAGAAAGAAAGAGATAGAAAAAGAAAGCGAAAGACCCTTTACGCACATCTCCGCTCAGAGATTGTGCAACAAGGGCGCACGTTTCATGCGTTCCACGCACTTCTCCCGTTCTCGTGCTTGCCGCAGTTGCGTCTCAAACGACCTCACGGTGTGCAGGAATTCCCTCAACGTCCGTACCGCCTCTGTGGCACTGTCGCGGTGCAGGAAGAGGTGCGACTGAATCTGCGCGACGTTCAACACATTCAACGGGATCTGTTCCGCAAACTCGGCCCGAAGTTTGTCATCGGCGTCCGGAAAAAATTTCCGGAACAACTGCTGCGCCTGGTCACGTGACAGAAGCCCAATCTCCAACTTCACATCACATCGCCCTGGACGTATGAGAGCGTCATCAAGACGCTCCACGTGATTTGTTGTCATAAACACAATTCTTCCCTCCTGCGCCGCCACACCATCAAGCGCGTTGAGTAACCCGCTCATCGTGATGTGGCTGTCGGCGCTAAATGCACGATCAATGTCTTCAAGCAACACGATGGAACGCAGCGGGGCGCTGTTCAACAGGCCCACCAACGCCTCATCGCTCAGACCGCGACTTGACAGGCTTAAAGGACAAATGGAGAGACGCAACTCCCCAGCAAGCGCCATAACAAAACTGCTCTTTCCGCATCCTGGTGGGCCATGCAACAGGTACCCACGGCGATAGGGCACACCGAGGTCCTCGTAATACTTGCTGGACTGCAAAAAAAGCTTCACATCCTTCAAAATCTCCGCACTTGTGTTACCGTCCAGCACCACAGAGTGCAACGGACGACGACGTCGTGGCTCCTGTCGCGTCCACCGCCCACCTGAGTTTTGGTAAATAACGGTGTGGTCACTATTCCGCATGGATGTGAGTCGACGGGCATCCTCCAATATTTCCTTCATGATGGTTGACGTCAGTCCTATGGTGGACAGCTGCATGGTCTCTAGCACATCATTACCCATCGCTTGTGTCTCCACACGTCGACGCTGCAGCATCATAGGCCTGCCATTGTACCAGAACCAATGCCGAACATTCGTGCATGGTGCGTAGAGACACTCATGCGAAGACTCATCATTAGAAAAGATGGTCGTGTTGCGTGTAGTAACACTCATCTGCTGAACGTAAAAGGCAGGGTTCTGCGCCAGCCAGCGCACCATCCACACATAACTCTCGTCTTGACTGGTAACTTCCATGGAAACAACAAAGCGACGCCGCATCGCTGTCTGCATGACGGTAGAGAAGGAACGCGCCGCTGCTCCCGCAAAGGTGAGAAGATACAGCCCCGCACCAGCACTGAAAAACGGGTTCTGCAGCAGGCCCTTCAGCGTGCGGGTGACGACGCCGCCGTTTTCACCCCATCCCTCTGGCAGCAGCGCGGTGAAGTCGGAAATGCGCGCCTCCGCACTTGCTGTGGGGGATGCGGCGGCCGTAAGTTGGTTCATCGCAGCGGAGGGGCGTCAGTCACCAACAACAGAGGCAGCGTCACCCAACCGAGCCACACACAAACAATCCACTTCGTGATTTCCAAACCCTCCGCCTTCCTTCCTTCTTTTCTTTTCTCTTCTTTTTATTTATTTTTTTTATTCCCCACAATTGACAACGTTTAAGAGGCGTTGAGGAGTGAGAAGAAACAAACGACCTCCTCAGCACAACACTCACCCCCTCACCCCTCTCTCCCTCCGTAAAAAACAAAAAGGGACACAATGAGCATTGCATGGCGGACTCAAAGAGAACATCGTCTCATCACCATCCCACCCTCCCCCACTTTCCTCCACTGTTCATCATACGGCCGACAGTAATAAAAACGCTTGCAAAAAAAGAAAAAAAAAAATGGTAAAATTTACATAAAAAAAAAAAAAAAAAGGTGAGGGAAGGGAGATCACTCAGGCATGAGCCCGTTTTGATTGTAAACTACTTGTTGAAGAGCAAGAAAAAAACAAAAAATATATATATATATATATATATACATTTATATGAGCGAGATATATATATATAAAGAGAGAGAGAGAAGGAGAGAAAAAGAAAAAGAAAAAGAAACCACAGCCTCGATCTTGTGACTATTCTTTTTTTCTTCCATTCCCGCAAATATTGTTTCAGGCAACGTACAGAAGCACCAACATCAACAAACAACGCCTCGTTGAAAGTAGCAGCGACCATCGTGGCATGGATGCCTGAATAAAGCGCCCTCCCTTTTTTCTTTCCATCTCTCGGATTCCCCTAACCCTACCGCTGCGACACGACATCACTTTCGGTGATGGATGCTGGTTTCATGTATTCCAGCCTTTCTGTCACGACCCGCCGGGCTGTATTACGGCGCCAGGCGTGGAACTCGTCCACAACCCCATCCTCCGCGTTGTTGTTGTGGTTTTCTTCATCGTCGCCCGGCATTCCGTCATCGTTGGACTCGGATGTGAACGACCTCTTTACAGAGGGCCATGATAAGGCAAAAATTGCGGGAAGCCATACATGTGTAAAGGCTGCGGCAATCATCGGCAGCTCATCAAAAAATCGGCTAAATTCCTTCAAATTGATGTGCGAGCGACGCATCATGTGCAGCGGAATGGCTGACTTCTGGTGCGCAAGAAGCGCAGGCGCCTTGCCAGCCTTCGCACGGCGCTTTCCTTTCATCTGTGAGCGCAGGTATTCCGCCTCCTCTTCCTGCAGCATCAACTCCATCGCATCGCCAAGCGCCTTCACAATGGAGGGTGTCACCACCGCGTCTTTCCCCTCGCAGTTCTCACGGCGAAAAAGACGTATTGTGTGCAGAGTTGCCTTGTGTATAAACCCATCGTTCTCCAATACACCAAAGCAAACCGATCGCACCGCCTCGCGCATCTCAGGGCCGTTGATTATAGCATCTATCGCCGCCAGTATTTCTCGTACACGAACCGACGGAGAACAAATAACTTCAGACGCGGCGGCAGTTCCCAGTGTAATTGTTGTCATAGACGTGGTGGCACCTTTGTTTGCACGCGAAGTGAAGGCGGCACGACGACTGATCGATTGACTTGCACCCGGACCCGTCGCTGAACGGCGTAAGCTTGCTGGCAACGTACCGGTACTCGTGAGAGGACTGGGGGGTCCCAATGTCGCAGACGTTCCTGTTACCAAAACATGCGACGTGTGTTGAGATGCACTCTTCCTTCGTGCACGTGGGAGAACGGCGCTCACGCTGAACGACCCATCGAGGCGGCGCTCCGTCTCACTCCCGCCAACCTCCGCCGTCGATGACGTCTGCACAAGAAAGAAGAGCGCCTCAAGAGCCTCATCGTCTTTTACGTCAAACGGTGGACGTTTTAATACCGCAATGAAAGTGTCAAATGTAATCAGGCCTCGATCGTCGGATGCCTCTAACAATGCCTCCAGCAGGATACGCAGATTTGCTGCCGGAGCCCCCTCTTTTGGTTGTTCTTCTTTTTTCCCCTTCTGATTCTTCTTTTTAGGAGAACCTTTTTGGCCGCGCGGCAGTGTGATGCTCCTTGAGCGTGGCAAACCACCACTGAAAGAGGAGATTTGTGCTGCGGCGCGTACGGACCGCCGTCGTTGCTCCTCCGCCTCTTCCAATTCCTTTTTGCGCTGCAGCGCGGCGGGGTGCATTTTGTAGTAGCATGCAATGAAAGACTCCTCCAAGTCATTCAGCACGACGTCACGGGTTCGTAAGGACCCCCCAACAGGGGCCGGCAAGTTGCCGGTGGCGGACCAAGCCGAGTTGAGTGTCGTCGAAAAGTCGCGTTTTTGCAGCGGCCGGAACAACGTGTTGTAGTAGTCATTCATCGTCACACTCTGCGAGAGGAGGGCCTGCCGTTGCCGTAGTTCTTCCGCACGTTTCGCCTCTTGTGTCCGCCTGAAAATTTTTTCGTGACGGTCCTCCCTCGCCGTGCCGCGTAACCGCTGAAACTGCGGGCAGGAGTCGATGTTCGCCCCCAGAAATTCTTTTTTTTGGCCCGCCGCGTTGGTGGCTGCGGGACGATTGCCGGGCAACGGGGGAATTGCCGTCGCCCACGTTTTTGTCGGCATGCTTCCGGCGAGAGACGTGCTTTCCATCCGCTGTAATTTTGTCCGCATATTCTCCTGTGCATTCCGCACCGCCGCCACCGCAAACGCGGGAGCTGGACGGACGGGATCGCCGAACATGTCCTCTTTTTTTTTTTCTTCCTTTCGTTTTTAAAGTTCCGCTGTCCTCCTCCTTTCGCCTGTAGGACTCGTTTCCTTTTGTTGGATGTACCTCCACACACACACACACGCCCCCCACCCCTCGATGTGTGCTGCTGTTGGGCCACAGCTCCCACAACAGCCAGAGGAAGAGGAAGAGGAAGAGGAAGAAAAGAAACAAACAAAGGCAGTGCAAGGGACGTACAGGGAGGAGGGAATGTCAGTTCATGCCGTCTTACAGAGACGTGATTCTCGCATTGCACACGAAGAGATATAGGCAGGAAGAAAGAAAGAGAGTAAGAAAGACTGGAATTCATGCACCTCTACTCCTCCACGACGTGTTCTTCACCCGATAAACCGCAGTAGGGCCAGTGCTGCTTGCTGAGCCGGCACCTTGCACACACCAGCTGCTCCTTCCGCGTCGTTCGGCTTTTCCCGTTCTTTTTCGCCGCCCCGTTTGAACGCGACTGTCGCCATGGCGGGGATGACTGGACCGCCAGATCACGGCGGCGACAGAGCACCCGCACCACCGCGGCAGCATCTTCACAGCCCCGCAGCAGACGACGGCGCAGCGCCACCGTGACGGTAGTGTCGTTGTGTGAGGCTGTTTGAATCCGCCGTGCTTTTGCCATCACACGTCTCCTTTTACGCGCCTCGCTGCAGCGAAAGAGAAAGAGAAAAGAGAAAGAGAAAATAGAAAGAAGGAGAATACACACACAAAAAAAAAAAAAAAAAAACGTGGGAAAGAGAGAGGGACAAAAGTGCCAAAGCAGCAAAAGAAGGAAAATAAATAAATAAACAAAAACATCGTGTACTGCGTATCTCTGACCGCTATCTGCCTTCACACTGCCACCGTCAACTTACGGCAGGAAAGACACGAAACGATCATGACGGTGCCATTCCGTGGAGGAGCACAACGAAAGAAGGATGAGATGCACCCCAGGATGAGGATGACGTCAAAAAGAGAGAGAGAGAAATTACGGTCTCTCCCTGTGTGTGTGTGAGTGTGAAGTCAACTCCTAAAAACAGTCCTTCCCCTCAAATGTTAAGATGCCTGAGCGTTTGGGTAAACTTGCCACGGTGGAGGTCGCTTTGCCTGTGCCGCACGGAGGTCCCAGCAGACACATCCCCATTCCTGCCTGAACACACACACACACACAAATGCCCCCATCACCCTCCCCGCGCAACAAAATACAAAAAAAGAGAAGAAAAAAAAAAAGAAAAGAAAATAACAAAACAAACAGCCCTGCAATTCACAGACTTAACATACACACAAGCACACAATCAAACGCACAGCTCAATAATAAATAATAAATGATGGTCGTGCTGAAAGAGACCCTCTCCAAAGAAAAAGAAAGAAAGACATAACTGCGACAGAGAGACTACAGAGGAACGGAGCACTCACAGTTATAACACTCACACTCCGAGTCGTAGTTTAGGGCATTTAAATCCACGCGCTCCAAAACAATAGCGCCGTCGGTACCACCGCCACAAAGTGTCACATGTCCAAACTCTTGCCGTATGCGTGTGGCATCAAATGGCACTCGTGAAGACGTCCTCGTCGCCTCTTCATGAGTGTCCTGTGGAATCTTCTCACCCCTCCACCTGGTGTTCAAAAGCGTCATGTGCAAAAGCCTGCCTGTTGCTCTTCCACGAGGGTCGTTCGCGGTAAGCTCCGAAAAACATTCATAGACTAGCTGCTGCAGCGTCGTGACCACCGCCGAGGATGCGGCATCCATGAGCCCCATGTACAACACATCTGCTTTTTTTTCGTTTCGTCCTCGGCCATGCATCACATGCAGACCACCAAGATGAATCTTCAATGAGCCACAATCGCCGTTATCCGTGTTGCTGTGCCGTATCTCCTGCCACAGCTTTATCTTCTCCTCTAGTACCCGCATGCATGCTTTGGCCAGCGCGATTGCCTCTGGTGTTGGAAGCGACAGCATGAGCAACGTGATATGCATGCGAGGGGCGGTGGTGAAGATGTCTTCTGTAACCATCGCAGCAGGATCGACACAGCGGTTTTTCATTTCCTCTAACAGACGCGTCGCATTCAACCGCACGGCAGAAAGACTTCCAATCGGGAGCGATACAAAATGCGTGTACGACGTTGTTCTATGCGGACTACTGCCGCCATGAACTACCTCATCTGCTTGCCTCTCCACTGTGATCCTTTCCCCCTTCCCTGCCTGTGTGTTGCCAAACGTTACGTTGGCCTCCAGGCTCAAGTGCTGTCTGGTCGGCAAGGCAGCCGTGGTGCTCTGGGCGGCAATGCGATAACAACGACCATGTGGAAGCGACAGAAGACGCACCGTTGGGTCCTCCGACAACCCGAGGCAAGCCTGGCTGCACACAACCGCAGCACCACGACGCGGGTTGAATTCCACCACGCCCGGCTCCACCGCAAGACAAAATCCACACACGCGACGGGGATCGACGCTGTCACGCGAACAGATGGGACACCGCCACCCATGCAGTCGTTCTTGACCAGCTCCAATCAACCCTCTTCGGCTTCCTCCACAATCCCTCACTCTTACTCCATCCTTCCCTTTTCCCGCCATACCACTTCCTTCAGCCGTAGCAACACTACCATCAGTTACCACGGGCCGCCCCTGCGTCATGCTATCATCTATCTCCACCGCCCCCTCGCACCCAGAAAAAGAAACAACAGAAAATTCAGGTCTCCGTAGCTCCCAATGGTACCTTCCACAAAAAAGTACAGGACACAGCACTACCCAGCAATCAAAAAACAACAAAGAAGGAAACGACAACTCCCAGAAGAGAGAAAACTCAAATAACCCACACAATAACCCACACACGCAAACACAAAAAATACCAACACTGTTAAAAACACGAACACTCACACACATACACACACGGAAAGCAACCTAATCCGTCCCAAACCAAACGAGCCTGCTAATACGAGCTCAGCAAATACTTCCGCGAGGCGTTCCTTCTTGCGTCTGACCGCCCGCCAGTCCACACTTCGCGCCGCGGTGTTACCCGTCTCGTAGCCGACGACCTCAAAAGACGACACGATTTCTGTTCCGCCGTCGACCGTCGGGCGGCCAGAGGGACGCCGGGGCAGTCGCGGCCGCAGGCATACCGGCAGTGACGGCACCACAGCCCGCTGCCACACCGGCCGACGACCCGCTGCCGCCACAACTGCAGGTCAGCAGCCCGCTGGTCGTGCGCCCCACGCTGCTAGCATCCTTACTGCTTCGGTGGCCTTGTTCTACGGACAGTGACGTGCTGGGAGAAAGTGGAGAGGTGTGCGCGGGCAGCAGTCACCACTGGCAGCAGAGCTCAGCAGCACAGAGAAAAAGAAACACCAACGCAATCAGCAAACAAAATCCGTGGACGGGTGTGGGTGTCAAAACAATCAAACAAATTCGTAAGAAGTAACATTTTTATTTGCCCACCACCGTCGCAGTGCCATGCGCAGAGTGTGTGCAGGCTGGACAGTGGCCGGTCAATATATTGTTGTACAACAAGAATGGGGCAACGGGGCACTGCCCCCAAAACAAGGCTGGGGAATGGGGAGAAAATGCACCCATAATACAATAATAAAGCAGAAAATCACTCATTAATCATTACCTTACAGCGAAATGGACAAAAAAGAAGTAGTCACACCATCGTTCGATTTCTCCCGCCGACGTCCATAGCAGTTCAGTGCACGGGGGAGAGAAAAACACAGACAGTACAACATGTAGCTCTGGCCGTGCACTGCAACTGAACTGATGCCGGAAAATAATAAAACACATGTGAAAGGGAAAAAAACAAAAGACGAAAAAAGAAAAGACCAAACAAACAAAAAAGACAGAGGGGATGCTATTAGAGCATGATGAGGGTCATGCGGCCCCAAGTGCGACCCGGCGAAAAGCAGCTCGCATCGTCAACGGCATCCGGGTCGCGGACGGAGGGCGGGGGCGTGTGCGCCCTCACTTCAGCACGGGCTCTTGAGCACTCAATGACTCCCTGCTTCCCTCAACCTTACAGTCGCCGGGTGGCTCCTGTGGCCGGACGACACGACCATCCACGTCAATGTTGTCGCAGATACGTGCGGCCGGGATCAGCAGAAACACCAGCGGGATGCACACGAGCGGACAGAGGAGGTGCCCCACAATCAAGAGCCACTTGACGTTGCTGAAGTCGCAGCCGACAGCGGGATCCGTCTCGACGGGCCACTTAAATTCCATCAACAGCGAGCCGACGGTGTTCGAAACTGCCTGCCCAAAGTTCGCGAACCCTGCTAGCAACGCGTACACCATGCTCTCCGTCCCACGCGGACACAGCCGGGAAAGTAGGATTATGCCTGGCATGAAGTGCAGCATGTAACACACCTGGTAGACGACCTGGTCACCAAGCACATACACCACGTGATCGCTGACACGCGGACGGTTCCACCGCTCCACAATGATGAGGTCAAAGATGCTGGCCACAACCATCACAAGCGTGGTGAAGACAAATGTGATGCGGTAGCTCTTCTTCGAGAACACGTACCTGAACAGCAGAATACCGACAATGCCACCAATGTTTCCAATGATGCTTGCGACCGTGTTGTAGAAGAAGAACGAGAAGTGCGGTCCGTCGGGCAGGCAATCAGGCCTGGCCATGTAGAAGCTGTCCAGGGCACCGGGGAGCTGAATGTACGACGCCATGCTGAGGAACGTATACAAATTCGCCTTGGCGATCACCAACGGGAGTGCAAAGAAGCCGAAGACGCAAACAGCAACGGAAACGGCAATGCAGGCGTACAGCAGGCTCCAGATGTCGCCAAGAACAGTGACAATGGCCAGACAACCGAGC